AAAAAAAAGATTGAATAAGGATGGTGAGAAGCTACAGCCCTTCCTGATTTTAAACCATGCACCGTGTGTGGTTCTGTTTGAATGACTGCCTCTTGATCTTTATACACATTCCTCATGAGCACAATTAAGTGGTTCTGGAACTCCTGTTCTTCACAATGTTATCCATAACACAGTCAAATGTGTTTACAAGCACAGGTAAATTATTTTTCTGATATTCTGTGCTTTCAAGCAAGATCCATGTGACATCAACAGTAATATCCCTTGTTCCTCATCCTCTTCTGAATCAGGCTTGAATATCTGGCAGTTCCCTGTTTATGTAATGCTTACAACCGTTTTTAATTATCTTCAGCAAAATTTTACTTGAGTGTGATATTGATATTGTTCACTAATTTCTGCATTCTATTGAACTGCCTTTCCTTGGAATTGGCATAGTTAAGGATATCTGGAATGTTGACCAGGTAGCTGTCTTCCAAATTTCTGAACATGAACAAGTGAGCACCTCCAGCACTGCATCCATTCATTGAAATATCTCAATGGATATTCATCAATTCCTGGTGCCTTTTTTTTTGCCAGTTCCTTCAGTGCAGCTTGGACATCTTCTTTCAGTACCATCGGTTCTTAATCATGATGCTACCTCCTGAAATGGTTGAATGTCGACCAGTTCTGTTTGGTTCAGTGACTATCTTCTGTCTTCCCTTGATGCTTCCTGGTCACTCAGTACCTTGCCCATAGAATCCTTCAGTATTGCAATTTGAGGCTTGAATTTTTTCTTGTTTTCAGCTTGAGAAGCACTGAGCATGTTCTTCCCTTTTGGTTTTCTAATTGTGGTCCTTGCACATTTCATTACATTGCATTATTATACTTTACCTTGTCTTTTCAAGCTGCCCTTTGAAATCTTCTGTTCAACTCTTTCACTTCATTTCCTCTGTTCCCTTTAGTTACTCTGTGTTCAAGAGCAAGTTTCAGTGTCTCTTCTGACATCCATTTTTGTCTTTTCTTGATGTTATCCCACAACTTGTCTGGTCTTCCAGTCACTGGTGTTCTGTACATCAAATCAATTCTTTTTTTTTTTTTTTTCCTTTTTTTTTTTGTTCCCTCCCCTTCCCTCCCCTCCCACCCCTGATAACCAACAAAGAAAGTTTCCTTCCATATATAAACCTTTCCTTGACTTGTTGCAATAATGAACTAATACAATATTTGTCCTTCTGTGATTGACTTACTTCACTCAGCATAATGACCTCCAAATTCTTCCACATTATGCAGTGTTTTGCAGATTCTACATTATTCTTTAGTGTTGCATAGTATTCCATTCAAATCTATTCTTGAGATGGTCTCTAAATTCAGGTGGGATATAATCAAGATCATGTTTTGGCTCTCATGGACCTTTTTTCATTTTCTTCAGCTTCAACTTGAACTTGCATATCAGCAACTGATGGTCTGTTCTACAGTCAGCCCCTGGCCTTGTTCTGATTGATGATATTGAGCTTCTCCCTCACTTCTTTCTACAGTTTAGTTGATTTCATTCCTGTGTATTCCGTCCAGTGGAGTCCAGGTGTATCGTCACTGTTGTTGAAAAATTCTATTTGCAATAAATAAGTCGTTGGTCTTGCAAAATTCTTGCAATCTCCCACATCTTTTCTGTCACCAAGGCCGTATTTTCCAACTGCTGTTCCTTCTGTTTCCAGATTTCACATTCCAATCATCATGATTGTCAGTGCATTTTGATTGCATGTTTGCTCAATTTCAGACTGAGGAAGTTGGTATAACTCTTCAATTTCTTCATCTTTGGCATTAATGGTTGGGGTATAAATTTGAATAATAGTCCTATATTAACTGGTCTTCCTCATATGCATATGAATGTTATCCTATCACTGACACCCTTGTACTTGAGGATAGATCTTGAAATGTTCTTTTTAACTGTGAATGTAATACCATTGCTCTTCAATTTGTCATTCCCAGCATAGTAGATCATATGATTGTCTGATTAAAAAAGGTCCATACCAGTCCATTTCAGCTCACTAATGCCTAGTGTATCAATCTTTATGCATTCCATTTTTTATAATTTCCAATTTTCCCAGATTCATACTCCATACTTTCCATATTCCAGTTATTAATGGCCGTTTACAGCTGTTTCTCCTCGTTTTGAGTGATGCCACATCTGCAAATGAAGGTCCCGAAGTCTTTACTCCATCCACACGCATCATTAAGGTTGATTCTACTTTGAGGGGGCAGCTCCTCCCCAGTAGAATTTCCGTGCCTTCCGACCTGGGGGCTCATCTTCCGGCACCGTATCAGAGTGTCCTGCTGCATCTGTAATGTTTTCATGGGCCGATTTTTTCAGAAGTAGACCACCACATCCTTCTTCCTAGTCTGTCTTAGTCTGAAAACTCCACTGAAACCTGTCCACCACAGGTGACCCTCCTGGTACTTGACCAATGGTATAGCTTCCAACATCACAGCAACATGCAAGCCACCGGAGTACAACTAACTGCTGGACACACCCGAAGATGAATTTGGGGCCATTTATATAGCAGATCATACAGAGTATGTAGAAGTTGGTAGAGACTGCTACATGCTGAAGACCTTTTGTATTATTTTCATAAATCTGAATGTAAATCATACTCATTTGTTTCCTCCTTTTTTACTGAGTGATTTTTTTTTTCTTCGAGGAATGAAGTGTTCCCTTATAAGAATGTCAGAAATAGTATTCGTTCATTCAACAATTCAAAACTTTTGAGGGCCCTGTGAGGCCCCTGGCTTCCTTGTTCTGTGTGTTGTGAGGGAGGACTGACGCACATCTGTTGGTGTGTGTTTGAGCCAGAGAGCTTCAGGGCGTGGGGAGCAGCTCATGTCTTGTCATGTTTGGGGGGATGCTAAGTAGTCCAGGCGGGTTGAGTGGGGCAAGGAGGAGAACAGAAGGAGAGGAGGTCAGGGGTTAGCAGGGTCAGATCTGGGAACCTAGGCTTCCTTATCAGGTCACCAGAAGCCATTGGAGGGGTTAAGCTTAAACAAAGAGACAGGCTTCATGGAGAGCAGGAGAGAAAGTAGGGGCTTGCTGTGGCCCAGATGAAGGCACTATGGTTGCAGCACTGGCGAGGTTGGAAGTTGAGGAGATGGAGAAAATGGACATGGGCTCTGGTTTGGAGGTAGAAGCATTGGGACCTTCGGGTGGTGGGAGGTTGGAGGTAAGGGAAAAGGAAGCATGGCCAGACTGGGGGGGTGGGGATCCAGAGTTGAGTTTTGGTCTCGTTGTAGTTGGGGATCCCTGTTCAGTGGGTAGTAACGATTTCTATGGGTCACGAATGCCTTCTGAGTCTTCATATATATTCCATCTTTTTCTTGGGGACAGGACACTGTCCAGACTTAGGTTTTCAGTCACATCCTCTGCAGTTTATTCCCCCAGAGGCCACTAGATGTCACTGTTTTCACAGGAGCAGTTACTTGTGCCACAGGAGACACTTCAGGGATACTAGCTCAGTATTTCCTGCCTTTCTTGTTCCCTCACAGCCTAGAATTCACATAACCGGTGTAGGGACTAGTTCATGCTAACTTATCAGTAACAAGTAGAGTTTGTATAATGGAAACGGATGTACCAGTTCTGCAATCAGGAGTAAATGGGGCTTCAGAAGTGTGTGACCTTTAGGAATTCTTTGTAATTGAGTCCAACCTTTGTCTGACATCTCTGTACCCTTTTCTTCCCCCAGACAATTTATGAAAACCGGATATACAGCCTTAAAATAGAATGTGGACCTAAATACCCAGAAGCACCCCCCTTTGTAAGATTTGTAACAAAAATTAATATGAATGGCGTTAATAGTTCTAATGGAGTGGTAAGTTGTTTTTTCTGGCCCACCTTTTCACTGGGGTTAAGAATTACTTTGTACTTTGAACATCAGGGGTACTTGGAATGGGCCTGATTCTTTACATATGTTCCTTGGTTATGCTTGATGATAAAATATATCACAGTATGTACGTGAGCATATATGAGCTGTGGATCTGTTTCCTAATTAATAGCTATCACTCAGACAGGACTTACTCCAAGCCAGCACTGTCTGGTCACCTTGAGATAAGCACTCCTCAGTCCTCAGGACACCCGTGAAGACTGTCCCTCAGGGTGACACAGCTGACTGGTGTTAGTCACCTTTACCTCCTCAGCCTTATTTGTGGACCACTGTTACCTAACATCTCTTCCTTTAATAGCCTTTCTTCTTAAACTTATTTTCATTGCTATAAATGGAAAGCCAGTATCACTTTTCATAGAAGGCAACAACTGATGTTACAAAAACAAATAAAAAATTCTTACTCCCTGTGTTGCTTGCCAAAGGCTTGGAGCCTGAAGTCCACCACTTCTTGTTCAGAAGGGAGACCAGCAAGTGTTCCAGGGATGGTGACACAATAGCATCACCCTGAGATTCGGGACGAGCTGAGCCTCATCACTGTGCTCTGTGGTTGTGGCGTTGAGTGCAGCACCTGAGTTCCACCTAAAGTCAGGAACGCAGAGTGTGACTCACACAGTGGGAAAGGCTGCAGTAACCTGGGAGAATGTGGCTCCGGGCAGGCCTGGTCCCCAGACTTGGCTCCACCCCCACATACCGTTATCATCAGTCAGGCAGGGGCAGCAGCCTTGAGGAGCAGGCTTATTAGAACCACACTGAGTTGGGGTCACTCTCAGAGTTTCTCCAGAACTCTAAGGTGGCTTTACTTTTCCCAACCAGGGAGGCTGTCGGGGGGACAGGATGGCGGGAGGGAGGGCATAAGCAGGGGTTCTCCGGGCGAGATCAGTGGGGAGATTTGCTTGTTCACTGTGAACAGACGTGTTGGACTCACATTGGTACCATAGCTTGACCCGCACAGATGGGTTGTCTCGTCCTCTCTGTGAGCCTGACAGCCATGTGTTCTGTCTTCTTTTGTAGGTGGACCCAAGAGCCATATCAGTGCTAGCAAAATGGCAGAATTCATATAGCATCAAAGTTGTGCTGCAGGAGCTTCGGCGCCTAATGATGTCTAAAGAAAATATGAAACTCCCTCAACCGCCTGAAGGACAGTGTTACAGCAATTAATCTAAAAGAAAAACCACAGGCCCTCCCCCCCCCATTCGATTTAAGCAGTCTTCATTTTCCACAGTAGTAAATTTTCTAGATACGTCTTGTAGACCTCAAAGTACTGGAAAGGAAGCTCTCATTCAAGGGCAGTTTATCTTAAGATACTGTAAATGATACTAATTTTTGTCCCTTTGAAATATATCAGTTGTGCTATAACAAATCATCCTGTCACGTGTAACCACTGTCCACGTAGTTGAACTCCTGGGATCAAGAAAGTGTATTTAAATTGCTTCCCATCATAACTGGTGGGGCATATCTAACTCAACTGTGAAAAAACACGTCACACAATCACCTTGCTGCTGATTATATGGCCTGGGGTCTCTGCCTTCTCCCCTTCCCCTCCCCCTGCCTTTACCCCTCTCCCTGCAACAGCCCTCCAGCTTGGGGTGGCTTATTAGAATAGATGTGAAGGTTTTGGGTTGCAGCCTATGTGGGACTACTGCTGGGTGCGTGGGGTGCTTACGTCTTAAATAAATAATGCCCCCCATTCCAAGCCGTCCTTCCCTACTCTCCTCTCCCCCACCCTTGGCCAAAGCGTAGATTGTAATCCCCTGTGCCCCCCTCTGAGATTGACTTTGGTGAGGAATTCAGGGCTTCCTGACATCTCTCCACCACCCCACACTTCCCCTAACGCTTCCTTGCTTTGGCCAGAAGCCATCGGGTAAGGTTGGAAAGAGTCTCTGACCTCCCTCATGTAGTTTTGTAACCACATTGATTGACTCTCCACCAGCCTGGGGCATGAATACGGGGTCTTCGGCCCTGCCACCCTCTGCTGTCATCATCAGCTGATACGCTGTTTTAGCTCAGGTTTTGAAATGGTGACAAGAACAGTCACCAGGGTTACTCAGACCTGCCAGCTTCAAAGTCCTTGGTGGTTAAACTTGGAGAAGGGCCACATGAAGACACTTGTAAGCACACACGATCCCTCTGAATGTTTTCTTTTCCTGTAATTGCTTTGCTTTTAAAAACTGAAGTTTTAAACAAACAGGGCTCTCATTTGGTCATCCTTACAATCCATTTGGGTCTAGTTTGGAGTTTGACAACTGGAACAAAAGAACCTGAATGCGGTGCAGACCTTGGTTTTTGGTGCTGCTGCCGGCACCCCTCAGCAGGGGTTAGGAAGGACTCGGTGTGCACACAGACCCTGCGACGGCCACACAACCTCCTGGCATGTGGTTGCGTTTCCCGCTTTTCGGTTCAGGACTGCTCAGTGCTGGCGTGTGGATGCACCCCGAAATAAAAGCAGTCCATGAGTTCCACAGGGTGGTGTTTTTTTATTTTAATTTAGTATTTGTGTAAAAGCACCTTTTGAAGCAGCAACTATCAAGTCTGAAAAGCAATTGATGTTTCCATGAATCTTTTTCCAGGGAATACCTTAGTTCTAAGGATTTAACATCCTGTAAGTAAAGTTTAACATAACAGTATTCCATAAGCAGCCTTTTTATTGTCAGACCATTGCCTGATTTTAATATAATAAAAAAAAAAGTGTGCGTTAATATTTACGAGGCTCTACTCTTCTTCCTCTTGGCATGTTAATTTAGGAGCAGAATTTAATGGTCTGGGTACTGTGTGATTCAGGTTCCTGAAGCAGGGTCCACAGACTTTCTAGAGAGGGCCTACATTAGCAGATATTTAGGCCTTGTGGGCCAAGGGGCAATGTTGAGGCTGTTAACGTAAGTCATATATAACACGGGAAGAAAAATTCCCACCAGTGGTTTACGGAATTCAAAATATAATAATTGAATATGATATATTTTTTTGTAATGTTACAGGGCTGTAAGAAGAATGTTGTTTTTTCTTTTTTAATAATACCCCTTTACTTAATTGAATTCAAAGTCACTGCCCTCTTAACCTGATCATTTGCGGCTGTTTATCTGTAAAAATTGTTCTTCACTTGCCAGGCTGTACAGACAGGTTGTGGGTTGGAATTGGCCCATGGACCAGACGTAGTTTGCCAACCCTTGTCCTAAAAGATTGTAGTTAAAAGTCCTTCTTTTGGTCTAAGTAGCCCTGGTGGCTCTTTAGCTGTGAAGTCTCCACTAAAAGCTGTTTTATTAGCTGGACCTGTAGCCTGTAGGGAGAGAAGGCCATCATTGTTTTTCCCATGTACCTGTGACATTGCTGGTTATCTACTGGGTAGGGAGTGGAGATGGGGCTGTGACTGTTTGCACCTAGGATTCTAATTTCTTGCTGTGCCCCCCCCCCCAACAGGCAGGACCTAGTGTTCTGTGGCAGAGCTAAGCCAGTCCCTTCTGACTGCTGGGGCCAGTTCAGGTGTCAGAGGACTGGCTGCAGGGCCAGGGGTCCAGATTCTTGCTAACAGGCAACCCTCCAGGAAGCCCAGCCTGAAATGAATGCCTGCTGAGTGCTCCTGCTTCTGCCACAGTGGGTGGCTGCCCTCAGTGCCCCAGGGCGTTGTGGGTTTTTCTCTACCCAAGGTCACTGTCCCAATGGAGGAGGTTGTAAGGTTCTTTGAAAGTACTACTGGGAAACCCCAAAACAAGTTCAGGATGAAGTCTCCAGGTGGCACTTCTGTGCTGAACGACCTCCAGAGAGGCAGGGGAGACCTGTCACAGAGCCTTGCATGCGCGGCCACTTTGGGCTGCAGAGCTGAACTAGGGGCTCCCAGTGTCTGGCTCCTGAAGGAGCCCCCTATGGCAACAGTGTGAATATGTGCACTTGTGCTGATGTCCCACAGTCTGTCATTTGCTCTAGGTTGTTGTTAAGTGCCGTTAAGTCGGACCCGACTGATAGCGAGCCCACCTTGGGTTTCCGAGGCAGTATCACTACAGAAGTAGATTGCCCAACCTTCCTTCTGAGGAGTGGCTGG